TCAGTAAAATAACTTCACCCAGTAGTATTCAAGAATAAATTATAGGTTGGGATATATTATCGGAGAGCACACGCTAATCCAGTATAATTCTAGTGATACATATATATAGAGAGTAGGGATTGTAATGCTTACCTTGGTGACAACTTTTTTCTTTAACTCTTTCCTTACATTATTGAGTTTTCATTTCAACTATCTTCCAAATTAGTAATCGTATCTTGTAAACTGAGGTTTACCCATGATCCCTCCTATCAACATCTCATTATGTAATCATTTGTTTCTAGTCGTCTGAACTGTTGTCACAATCAATGTTGTAGAATGTTCTTTTACATAAGGTTTATTTATATGTTTACAATATTCAGTCTATTCAATTTGATTACACCTTTGCTATACTATGCTAATGTGCCTTCAAAATAACTTCCGACTAAACCCTATCATGTAAGTAACTTAAACCCATTATGTAATTATGATTGCCCAGGACAGGGTTGGATGAAGAGTGCTGGTTGGCGGTCTATGCTCCTTCACGAAAAGTAGCAGGCGTAAGTAAATCAGTAATGTAATTATGATTTGTAAATACCACCGATTGCAATCAACTGACGTGAACCAGAAGAAATAAGACGAATCCATGCTATTCTACTAGAATGTTTGTTCTTGCTCTATTCAAAAAGATAAAGAGAACTACGTGGATGAAAAATGTTTATTGATATGAAATAACTAAACAAATAATAGAAGCCAAATATTTTAACTCACTACTTACATTCTTTATGATGATCAACTGATTGTTAGATAACAAACAGCATTACATAACTACCATATCATTTTCTTTAAATAATTTAGCAATAATGCAAAAGTGTGTAGCTTGTTTTCAGGCAATTATTTCCTTGAATGTTTTTACTATTAGAGAATCAAATTAATTAATAGTGTTTAACTGAAGGATATGTAGAGATTATTTGGTGTTGAAATGATCATTCATAGAAGTTCAGGACATACTGATGAACAACTATTTCATACCGGCTCAGTATTCTAGAGGTTAAGCGTTTGCAGATGAGATCGAAAGCCCTCGGTTCGAATCCCGCGAGGCGGGATCGTGGATGTGAACTACCAAGGATAAAACAGCAGTTCAGTGCTTCCAGGTTTTCAATGGTGGTCTAACATCATTCGGTTGATAATCTTAATCAAAGAACATTCCATCTTTATTTTTCAGCTTCTTAGCTTTGTACAACTTTATGGTTAATGTTTCGCTTACTGACAAAACTGAATGATGTCATACAATTTCACTAATTAGTTGAAGTTATAGACTTCTTAAAGCGAATTCACTGATTTAATGATAATCGACTAACTACTAAACCTGATGAGGTCAAGTGTGTCTACTTCTGAAGAGTCCTGGACGAAGATCGAACAACTGTCCAGTCTTTACTGGTATTTAATGATTCCACAGTTGATATTGAATCAGGATCTAAATGTAAATTCAAATTATTAAGTACAAATAGCATATCTTATAGTCCAGAAAATTGTTGGTTTATTTCATATAAGAATTTTCATTTACTTTGCAAAAAAACCCGGTTAACTTTCCTTTATTTACTTTATGGCTTGATCATCCTTCTCCTCATCAACCTTTAAGAATATGATTTTTATCAGAAGGGGTTTTTGTAGAGATTTTAGTAATTTTAATAGCTGAAATCATGAATCAATTGAATCTAGACCACCATGGGAAACCTGGATGCACTGAACAGCCGTCTCATCCTAGTATGGGACTGCTCCTTGGAAGTAAGCATCCACGATCTCGCCCCACGAGATTCGAACCCAGGACTTATCAGTAAGATCTATATTACTTAATTCTGAATTGAATGTTACAAGTACATCGAAGAAACGATTTTGTTAGATAATGCTTTGGAATATAATTATCAGAGTTGTTATTTCTATTATACTCATAAGAAGAAAAACATCGTTTCTGTGAAAGGAACATTTACGTCTAATATGGTCATTTTTCTACCATCTACATTGACAGTTCTAACTGCGTTGATAAAGTCAAATGAATCAAGTGAGTTCTATCATTGGTGGGATTTCTGATAATCTGTAAAATTTTAGCTAACTATATTACTTCATTATTTAGTTAGCTACTTACTTACACCTGATCCCCTTCGTGAAAGAGTATAGGCCGTTCATGGGCATTCTTCATCCAGCACTGTCCTGGCCAGTTCTTCTCAGTTCTTTCCAGTTTCTATCCATCCTTTTGATGTCTACTTTTAATTCTTAGCTCACTGTGTTCTTTGATCTTCCACTTTTCCGTTTCCCTTCAGGATTCCAAGTAAGTGCTTGCCTCATGATGCAGTCTAATGATTTCCACAATTCATGCTCTATCCACACCCACTATTTTTCCCTAATTTCCTCTTCAACTGGAAGTTGGTTTGTTCTCTCCCATAGTAGGCTGTTACTGATGGTATCTAGTCAACGAATATTGAGTATCTTGTGTAGACATTTGTTTATAATTACTTGTACTTTCTTGGTGATGGTTGTGGTAGTTTTCTAAGTTTTAGCTCCGTACAGTAGAACTGTCCTGACATTCGTACTGAAGATTCTGACAACAATAAACAAACTAAACCATTACCGTTTAGCTGCATTAAAGATTAAAGTCGAATCTTTAATGTACATATATATTTGAAACAATATAGATATTTCATCATTGTGATATATGCAATTAAATACAATTAGTGGATAGAGCTCAGTAAGGTGATTTTTGAAAGACTTGATTCGTTTAGTTCTAAGATCACTGTTATAACTTGTGGGTTTGTGTCCCTATTAATGCATTACGTAATGATATCGCCAATTAGAGAATAGTGATTTATCGACGGGTAAAACCTGTACGAGAAGTCTACAGTCTTTACCGGTCCTGCTTCCTGACTAGCCCTGCCACTATGTTGAGTCCAGAACATCAATCTCTGCTTCCATTATATGAATCATGTATTTCAAGCATACCAACCAGACAGACCACATCACACCATAAAATAGGAAACAACATTTATACAAGATTTAGCGAAGTGTGTCTGCGAATGAGGGAGGTAGTAGTTGATAAACAGGGCCTAACCCAAGAATGGTGAATAGTATAATCATAGTTCATAGATCAAAATAAAGCTCATAATAAGAGGAACACGAATAAGAATAGTTTAGTTACTTAACAAGTATACGATAAAAATATACGTATAGTATTAGTCCATAAATGGATCCCCAAAGTTACCATTCATTATTCTCATTGGGACATAACGATTGCATAGTGAGTTTAGGAAAAATACTGGTTTTAGTGAACATAAACATTAAAGTGAGTAGAAAAGTACTTTATTACGATGTGCAACACGTAAGGCTGACTAACATAACTAAACTACTGAGTAATAATAAGTAGTCATATAGTATACAGAAAAAAATACAATAGAAATAAGGAAAATGATTTTACCATTACAGAATACAGTTGATTTTTATTCAAAAAGCGTTATCCGATTATGTTATAGGTTTTGTGTAGTATCTCACTTATTACAAATAACATTCCACTGGAAATGAGGAATTTCCTTAACCAGTTAAATATATGAGGAGTGTTTTATCAGGAGGGGGTTTTGTGGATATTTCAGTAATTTAATGGTTGAATTCATGAATCAGCTGAAGCTAGACCACCTGAAAGTACTAAACGACCATTTCGTCCTAGTACGGGACTTCTCAGTAGTGTCTCCACGATCCCACACACGGGGATCGGTCCCAGGACCTATCGGTTTTGCGCGCGAACGCTGGATGGTCGTGCAATATCGTGGGTTGGTTGAAACGAGACATTAACACCGTTGGATGCCGACCGGCTCAGTGGTCCTGGGTTCGAATCTCACATGCCAGTTTCGTGGCTACACACTGCTGAAAAATTTCACACTCGGACGAAACGATCTTTCAGTGCTTCTAGGTTTTCCATGGTGATCTAGCATCAATTGACTCATGAATTCAACTATAAAAGTGTTTTAAACAAAAGTCATACACTGGTGTTTCCAGCTGATGGCATTAACAGACTTTAGTGATGTTAGACTGCCATTGAAAACCTGGTTGAAATTGTCATCAACATCGTTGGATGCCTGATCAGTGATGTAGAGGCTGGAAGTTCGCGTGCGGAACCGAAGGTCTTGGGTTCGAGTCCCGAAGGCGGGATCGTGAATGCGCACTTCCGAGGATTCACATACTAGGATAAAATGTTCGTCCAGGTTTTCAGTGATGTTCTAACACCAATCGATTCATAATCTCAATTTAAAAAATTATCTATATTGGCTAGTACAAGTGCCTAATATTCCAAACTGAATTCAAATCAATAAAGTTGATAGATAAAGTTTCAATAAAGCATTCTATGGAAATAAAATTATTCTGATTAACATCATTTCCTATTCAGAATGACTAACTATTTAGGAGTATAATCATACACTCTCCTTCATAAACGGTCAAAGTGATTTGAACATAGACACCAATCATCTTGCTGATGTGGGAAAGTTTAAGTGAATTTTCTGTCATGAAAAACTACAGTACTACCTTACAACATCTAAACTTAGTTGAGGAATACGGCTATAGGGATTCACTTCTTATTGTGATTAACAATATTATCGATTTATTTGTACTTCAGTGAGTTTCATCATCAGAACCTGAAGCCATTGAATGTTGTTGTTTTCTTTGGTGTTGTACGGAGACTTCCAACAACGGCTAAATAAATAGGAAACAGTCGTAGAAATATTTTAAAGTTCGAACTGGGGAATTGTTAACGGATAAGTAAAGCAATGAATCAAGTGATGTCAGCAAATGATTTGGTTATCCGACCGATAAACTAACTTCTGGGGATGGGATGAAGGAAGATTATACAACAGTAAGCCAGTTTACATCAAACAGCTACTAATCTATGAATATATTTAATATATCATCATCGACATTGTTCTACTTATGAAACAATACACCTCTCAAAGAAGTAAAAGGTTCATGTTTAGAACACAAAAATGTATAAGCCAACCAAGAATGAAAACAATGAACCAGATGTTATGTATAGAATGTCAAGTTCATGTGTAACTGATCGGTTAAATTGTAATTGTCCAGGGTAATATCACTTTTTTTGTTTTCATCAGCTGATTATCAGCAGATTGACCTTGAATCAAGTTACTGGAAAGTTACACACTCATTTGTAATTTTTTTACCTTCACCCTTAGTGTGTAGGTTTTATCAATATGACTTTTATTATTTACACCTTGTTATGAATAGGTCAATCAGGTACTAGTGTATTGTTGTATTCATTTGGTATTGTTTATTTGAATCTTTCTATTGTTATTTAGGACTGTATTTGATCAGTCTCTTATCTGTATATGTGTATCCTGTACGTAGCCTTAAGTTACAAGCTTTATAAGCAAAGATGGATAGTGGCTAGCAGTGGAATCCAGTTTGACACGCGTTTCATCCTATTTGGGAATCGTCATTTGGATGTACCTGTATCTTAGTGTTGATGTTCATTCTGAGACTCGAATTCAATACCGTTCACTTCAAACATCATCGCGTTATCCACTTATCTACTGAGTCCTGCTTGTGCAATGTGGGGAAGTTTAAATTTACCCGATATTGATTACTTGAAACTTCCCATCTTCCCAAAGATAGATAGTGGCTAGCAGTGAAAACAAACGTTCTGGATTCCACTGCTAACCACTATCCATTTTTATTTATCCATGCATTTTAGTTGCGTAATTCACTTGTGTTCAAATGAAATTAATTAGATTTTTTGATTGAGATCATGAAATGATTGATGTTAGACCAGCTTTGGAAACCTGGAAGCACTGGATGGCCGTTTCATCCTATTGTGGCACTCATCAGCAGTGCACATCCACGACCTCGCCCCCCGCGATATTCGAACCCAGGACCTACTAGTTTTGCGCGCGAACACTTCATTAATAGACCCAATGGTGTTAATGTCTAACTTCAACTAATCTATTCTATTACATTGTATCATTCCTATTTACTTGAATTACATAATGTACATGTTTTGTTTTTTTTTCTTTTTTGTCTAGCCTAATTATTATTATTTTTTTTCTTTTTTTTCTTTTCTCTTTCTCAATCAATGATAAAATTCTAATTGGTAGATATAGATTTTGATACATACAGTTTAGGTGTAATAGAATTTGCTTTTTTTCTTTTCTTTTTCTTTTTTCTTTTTGCAAATTGTCTGGATTATTAATTGTAATAGATTAGTTGTTAAGATCAGAATGGAGATTTGTGGAGATTATAAGTAATTTTTTCTTTTGTAATAGTTGAAATTATAAGTCAATTGAAGTTAGATCACTATGGAAAATCTGAAAGTACTGAATGATCGTTTCATCCTATTGTAGAATTCTTCCTTGGAAGTGCATATCTACGATCTCATCTCGTGAGATTTGAATCCAGGACTGTAGTTAAAAGAAAATAATTCTTAATGATCCATCCAACATGAGCCATTAGCTTATATCTTATACCATTAACAAACATACAATTACTTCTAACCTTACTCTTTAACATTACAAATATCACATTTTCCAAACTCGTCAATATGCACACAAATTCATATGAAGTCGTAAATGACATAACATCAACTTAAACAGATAGACATAGACATACCGTTGGATGCCGGTTCAGTGGTCTAGTGGTTAAAGGCTCGCTCGCGAGACTGATAGATTCCAAAATTCATAGAGATGGTACGGCAAGCAGAACCACTGCAAGAACGACTGTTTAAACGGAGGACGAGTATGGTGTGTTCTACTGATGTCGATAGATATAAGTAATATGTATCATCAATCGAGAATGAAATACCTGGCAGCAGAAAGTTAAGAAGATCGAAGTGAAGAGAATAAGTACAGAGAATGATTGATGTGAAAATGAAGAAACAATAAAGTTTGAAACGGTTAATTAACATTTTGCAAATGAAGTATTTACTATATGGTTCTAAGATTTTACTAAATGATTCTGTCATTATGGTGATTAAATGCATTTGGTCGACCCCACTTGTGTTCTCGTCCACCATACACTACCAACAACAACTAACCAAGAAAAAGACGTTTATAATGATTCGTATTTGCCAGTTTTAATTTGCAATACTTAAGTCTTATCAACTTTCGTCGGAATGTCTCAATATAATCATTTTGCTACGATTCTGGTGTTTTGGATTTGTAGAATCCTGGATGCATATCCAATTCAACTTGGGACTCATCAGTTGAACTTGTTTCGTGTTTCGTGCTACTTGGAACTCATCAGTAAGGTTTAGGTGTACTTGAAACTAAGAAGTACCTGATATACATGACATTGATCACTACCCAGTGATCAATCAATTGTAAAAACATCTCAGTCCTACAAAAGGTTAGTCGCATCCCGGATAACTCATTGGTAATGTCTCTGATTATGAAGTTGGATGACACGGGATCGGATCCATCAGAGAGTATTAGTTCCCTCAAGATTACACAGGTACACTTTGCTACCGGGTGTAAAGTTTTACATTCTAACAATCAATACTCGCGCCGCCCCGTCGCTCGACTTATGTTAGAACAGTCTATAGTTTACAATCATTAAACTACAAGATACTTTATATTATTATTGAAGCTATTCATTAACACTTAGATAATATTCATTTAATAAACATTGAGAAAATGTATTAAATAATGAATGGTATTTATTCACATAGTTTTACAATGGAACGTTTATCATAATGTTTATTTATAGACTGAAGGGGTTTCACTCAAATGTACTATTATCATTTAGATGCATGAAACACGCTTAGTATTACTACTATTATTACTATTACTATTACTATTGTTACTAATATTAGTAATACCATTACTATTATTATTATTATTATTACTATTACTACTACTGTTATTGCCATTATCAGTATTGTTATCACTACTACTACTACTACTACCATTATCACTGTTACTATGACTATTACCACTATTATTATTGCTACTACTACTATTACTACCACTACTACTGCTACTATTATTATTACTATTACTACTACTATTATTAGTATTATTATTTCTGTTTTGACCGATTCAACTGTATGTTTAGATAAGAAATTGAAGAGGCTACAATTCATGTCAATTATAAGTAAGTTATAGGCTTTTATTATCATTGACGTCATTTATAATTAACCTTATGGTTATTATCATTTGTATGATATAATATGAATAATATCAATCAAAATTTGATGTTTATCAGGTCAAGAACAATTGGGTTCATTTGTGTTTTTAATATATAATGAATCTAAATATATACATAGTTTGAATGATAATATGAATATAGACAGATAATGATTCGTATAGTTAATTGAAACTAGACCATCATGGAAAATCTGGAAGCACTAGATGACTGTTTCGTCCTAGTATTGGACTCTTCGGCAGTGCGCATCTATGATTCCGCACATTAGACTCGAACCCAGGACCTTCATTCTCGCGCGTGAACACTTAACCTCTAGACCACTGAGCCGGCCGGTATCCATTGATGTTAATATCCAACTTCAACTAATCCACGGATTTGAACTATCGTTCACCATTGTCATCAGTGAGTTACTATCTCACAACAGACCCGATTGAACTCCACTGATCACTGCTTCTCACTAGAACTTCATGAACCACCTCTTGGAGACAGTCACTAGTGAGCATATGATACTTAGTATGGGAAGGGAAGTTTTGTAGGGATTTAAGTAATTTTTATAGTAAGAAAATCCCCTAGAAGCATTTGTAAATATATCTGATTAGTGCTTCTTTACGAAAAGATAATTCAAATTTCAATTGTCTGATTTCATCTAATCCTATATTAATCAAATTATGCAAACTAAGTGGGACAAACATTATAATTGCTATTATTATTATTTGTGAATTGGTTGAAGTCAGACATTAACACCGTTAGATGTTGACTCAGTACTCTAGAGGTTGTGTTCGCGTGTAAGACTGAAAGTCTTTGGTTCGAATCTCGTGGGGCGGTATCGTGAATGAGCACTGCTGAAGAGTTCTGTGATAGGAAGAAACGACCGTCCAGTGCTTCCAGATTTTCCATGGTGGTCTAGCTTCAAATGACTCACGAATTCAACTATAAAAATTACTGAAATCTCCACAAAACAACTTTCAGATGATGATTTGCTTATTTGCATTGGTTGTTCAAATCGTCCCATTAGCATTTGGGACTTAGACTGATTAAACTTTTTTTGGTATATGTGGATTCTATGAGGACTGCCTTGATATTGCCACATTTTAAGCTTGTGACTAGAGATTTTAAATAAGACGAAATTTGTATCCTGGTTTCCATTATCAGCTATTGTCAAAATTTTGCTTTGAATATACCTGTGATTTATTGTGACTGCCTAGGCAATACATACAGGATGTAAATGTGCCAAAAAGTAGCTGATCGATCACAGGCCTGAACATCAGTGAGAAGATCCTAAAAGACAATACGAACGGGTAAAAGTTCACCCCGTTGCACAAGTTGGTAATCATCTGGTTTCAGTAGCTAATTTGATAATGTAATGATATTTGAAATAAATGGTACTGGATTCGACTCCTGAAATGAACATCTAACCAACAAGTCCTAAATAAGAATGAAGTGGGTCCTGAATTCCACTGTTAGCCACGATCCAACTCTGCTGACGGTTCGTTGTTATGAAACTGATATTCATAGTGGGAAATCTAAGATACCAATGAATTCTTTGTGGACAAATTGCAATCCTAAATAACGATTGGAAGATACAAGTAAACAACACCATGTGAATTTAAAATTCACTACATTGCACAAACAGGTGGCTATTAGAAATCAGTAGCTAAGTAGATAACACGATGGCGCTTGAAGCGAACTGTACTGGGTTCAAGTCCCAGAGTGAACATCAACTCTGAGATGCAGGTACATCCAATTGATGATTCGCAAATAGGATGAAACATGCATCAAACTAGCTTCCACTGGTGTAGTAGCCACTATCCTTCATTGCTTAAAACTCCCACTTGTTATCTAGTTCACCAGTAAATATTATTTACACGTATATCGTATGTTTGTAGATATCTCCAACAATCTTAATCCTTCCACATACCTACTCAGTCT